AATGAAAATCGGTTAATTTGTCTAAATATCTGTAATTATTGTGAAAAAATTTCTTACAGCAAAAATTTCAGGGTTTAACCTTTTTGTTAGCCTATTCAATGTTGCTTGTATCAGAGTTGGCAAGATTTAAAACAGGATGGATTAGTCCCCGGTTTAAACTGTCCAAAACCTTTTTATTCAAATTATGTCATTATTTTTTAAAAAAAAAAATATCGTGAAAAATGAAAGGTTAACTGTTGAACAAGAAACAAAATGACGACAAGTTTTATTTAAAAAGTTTATTATTATTTTTAATATCTCATTATTTATTCTTATGCAAAAACATAATTTTATCAGTATTAAAAGCATATTTAAAAGATAAGGTATTCACTTTTGTTGTTCATTGAATTGTGGAGCTTCAAAAGTCATGAATCTTTTCCTCTTGTATTATTCTCCTGTTAAAGTAAATTGTATTAAAAGTAATCAAATATTTATTAATATATGTAATTATTATGTGTACAGTGGTTACACATATAGAATTTTTACTTATGTTCTACAGAGTGCGTAGCGTTTTTAAAAGCTTTTCGTTTTTTAAAAGCCCTTAAATGTACTTTTTTCTTGAGGTGTTTTTAAAAAGTGCTTAATTTTCCCTTTTCCAAAATTAAGATTTTTCTTTTACCTTGTTGATTTTCGCCACGAATTGTGCAGAAAAACACTTGTTCACATTGTTCTATTCAACGTTTTCACAATTAATTCCCAATCTATTTCGGAGCATCATCAGACCATAGCTTATGAAAACGCCATTCGATTTGCATGATTCAAAAATTTTGACCATTGTCAAAAACAATGCCAAAAGAATTTTTTTTTTTGACATGACTGATAAAACCGTCAATTGTCAAAAACTTACCAACCCTGCCTAATTATGATAGTGCTTATTTTTTGTTGAATAATTTGGCTACGTACCCTGTTCTAGGTTTTGTACACTTTAAGGCAGTAAAACCCCCCAAAGAGTTTATCTTTAGTGGTTTCATTCCACCTATGATTATTATGTATTTCATATATTGTTAAATTAACAAGAAAAGAAAAGTCATTTGTTGTATTTTATTTCAGTTGTGCCTAGTTTTATTTCATTCCTGACGGTTATTTTTGGTGTGTGTGCCATGGCAGCCACAAGGCGTTTGCAGAAGGAGCTTCAGGATATCCGAAAGGCAAACATGAAGTGCTTTCGAGACATCAGGGTAGACGACACAAACATCTTGAGTTGGCAAGGACTCATAGTGCCAGATAGTGCTCCATACAGTAAGGGTGCCTTCAGGATAGAAATTAACTTTCCTGCCGAGTATCCATTTAAGCCACCCAAAATATTATTTCGTACTAAGATATATCATCCCAACATTGATGAGAAAGGTCAGGTCTGCCTGCCCATCATCAGTGTGGAGAATTGGAAACCCGCAACTAAGACAGATCAGGTGATTCAAGCCCTCGTAGCCCTTGTCAATGAACCTGAACCGGAACACCCTCTACGAACTGATCTTGCCGAAGAGTATAGCAGGGACCGTAAGAAGTTCTTTAAAAATGCAGAAGAATTCACAAAAAAATTCTCCGAAAAGAGACCATCCGATTAAAAATTATTCTACCTTATGTTATGTTTTTCTTTTTTTTTTTCTTTTTTTGTTTTTTGAAGCAAATGAGACACTGGAGGACTCAGTATATATTGTGATCTTTTCAATATTAAATAATTTTTTAGTAACTAATTATGTAATTTAATTAGCTTGCAGTTAGATTATAATTTATCCACACTCTCTTTTTATTTTTTAAAGGAAAAAAAATTTTTGAATCGATTTTTTTTTGTGCCATTTTTTTTTACGTGCTTAATAACAATTTAGTGTTGGATGATTCTACAGGTATTTGTAACTATGCAAATGTTTTTTTTATTTTATTTTCCAAACTTTCAACGAAGAGGTAATATTGTATTGTGTGATGCACATATTTTGAGTGTATTCTATTTACATTTAAAAAAAAAGAAAAAGAGCCTGATTGAAGCAGCCGTTATATGCTCAAATGTAAACTGCATGTGTGTGTGTTAAACAATTATGAAAGGCTAAATTGCATCAGTTTCACTTAGAGGTTTCTTCATCATAATGTATAAAAACAGTTTTGAACACTTTCTGATGTTTGTTTTATAGCTTCCAATAAAAATTATATTTCATCTTCTTTGTCCTAAATTTATTTCCTTCATTCAAAAATGAATGGCTTGAGATAGAGAGTTGCCCTTATTTTTGAAAGAACAAAGGAAAAAAATATTTTAAAGCAGTTGATAAAAATAATGTAATGTCCTTTAATAATGTCCTTTTTTAAAGGCTATTTTTCGATGGCTCTGTCGTCATATAAAAATGAGGCTTTTTACGAATAATATGCTATTTTTATAACTGCTGTGAGTTTGCAACTGTTATAGGTCAAGTTAACAGGGCCTGATTATCGTCTAGGGCCTTTAGGGGGGCCTCAAAAATTAGAAAAAAGTCCACAATATTACATATAAAAGAAATACAGTTTATCTCACAAAAGGCATTTCGAATATTCTTTGTATTGTGATAAATCCTGTAAACATTGCACGAATCAATTTCGAAAGTACAGCTGATTTGGTGCAATTTTTACTCAATGGTTTAAGGAAATGCGATGAGAATGCATTTTTGCAAAGTCTCTTATAAAAGAATAGTGTCAATAAGAACTAAAAGCTTAACAAATATGTAAAGCTGTAGGTGGAAGAAGGCTTTTAGCAAAAGTCACTGACTTCAATTGTTTGTGGTCATCAAAATATTTGTTGTTTTATATTTTGCTTTAATATTTAGATGAGTAAACTTTGTCTTAGAAAAATAATCTTCAATTGTCTACTTTCTAAATTTTTTAGAATGTTTTTCTTGAATCATGCAGTTCAATAGATTATTTTTATAGTTAGGACTATTCTACAGAAATTTAATTTCAAAATATTTTGTTAGGGGGCCCCTAAAATTTTGTGGGCCTGAATTAGTCTTGATCGGTCCCTGCAAGTTAAGCCTATGTAAAGCCAGCGCTGTCTTCGCATATTTTGAAAATGGCGCAAAACGTTAATATGGAGATAAGCCACAGTTATGTGAAAATGAAAATAGTTTGTGGTCTGAATGAAAATCGATATTTAAAAACTTACTCCACATTACCTAGACCCGCAAAAACTGAATACGGCAGTAATTTTGATAATTTTCATCTAAGTGGAAAAATGTCGCCACTTAGGCGATTTTTAAAAAGGTTTAATACTTATTATTTAAGTTATTTGTGTGTTCTAAAACCCAGATAATTCTTCACGGCAAGATTATATCGTTTAAAATCATCGCATTGCTTCAAGCGTAAAGCAGTTTAAAACTGAGCCTTTTTATTTTCCTTGGAGACAAAGCTTCGAAAAACAGCTTTAAAGCAGAGAAATAAAGGCATTTTTAATTCATGTATGATATGCTTTTGTCCCCTGCACTTGGTATCAGCAACTCTGTTGCATGGCGGTGAGAGCTGCAGCTAATTTTTCATCGCAGATTTCTTATAATTTTAACTTGAATCTTAGAGTTCAAAATGTGTGAAAAGCTTTTTCTTTTTTCCTCAAAAATTTTGGTCACAAGATGACAGGTTTTGTAGATATATTAATCCATTTTAGGATTATAGTATGAAAAATGTAAATAAAGAATTTTTATGAATAATTTTAACTTCTTTAAATGTGCAAATTTGTCTTTATGAAATATAAATTGGCAATTATAGTTATTTAATGAGGAGTGTGTTCAACGTAAAATTTGTTACCCGGCTTCGGAGAGATTCAGTTAATTAAAAAAAAAGTGGTTGAGATCAGACATGTTGATTCTATCCGCTATGAAAGATTCTGTGTTCTATCTATTCATCTAAACGAGTACTTATGTTCAACTCCATAGCCTTGTCATTTCGAACCCAATCCAGGAGACAAGGGAATTCTTGGATCAAGTATAGGGAGAAATTTGCCTTCATGAAGGACTTTTTGATAGAACTAACCGCATTTGCGTCACCTCCCACAGTTAGCCAGACGGCAAGGGGACTCTTAACTCATGATCTGTCTACTACTGAGGCTATTTATGTCAGCATTGGTCGGTGCAACCTGAGAATTCGTATCGACCAACCATTGCTGAGATTCGAACCCGCATTCACCTCATTGCAAGGCGTACGCTCTATCCCCTGAGCCATCACGATTCAATCGTATAATTTTTAAAAAAATCTTACAATTTGAGTCGATTTTAAGAATAAATATTTATCTACGATACCAAGCCTAAAAAACCGATGTCCTTTGTAAGCCAATTATGTCTAGAAGCAGCTGTAATGATTTAAAAAAAACTGATAAACGATTATTAATCTACGAAAATAATATAAAATTCACTATATTATTTTATAGATTTCTAACCAATCAGTTTCATAAATTTTTCTAAAAAATATTTAGTTGCACTACACTGTCGAATTAAGTTCCTGTTAATGCATTTCATAGGAACTAACGTTATTCTGTAGTATGTTTTGCTGTGTCGATAATTTTTACTTGGAATCTGGTATAATACACCACAAACGTGAAATTTGCAGGACGGATAAAGCATGTGGTACGTAAATGATCAGCGCATTCATTCAGAGCAGGCATCGACACCTACAATATGTATAAAAGAAGAGATTGAATTTAAGCGTTGTTCTTGTGTAGAAAAATTATGCCTCGTGTAAGAAGGAGAAATACCTACCAGTCTGATTTTGATCGAGCTCGAATGGTGGCCTACCGGGATTGTGGTTAATCATTCCGAAGTATTGCTGGTCGAGATCCCATGACTCGATGCCCAGGAGAATAAATGCTGCTCTGAGTACTGATTCCTCAGGAACCAAATTTCCTGAAAATTTAATCACTTATTCATCCAACTATAATGTTAAATATTCTGTTATTTGCCGTCCTTCCTGGTGTAGCAATTTTAATGGCCAGTAGTGTAGATAACAAATATGAGTGTGACCCGGACTCTAGAATGAAGAAATGTTTCACACATCAAAATAAGGTCACGAGGAGATTCTAGGACCAGTTAAAAACTTAAAATAAAAAGATGTTTGAACAGTGTGTCCAATACAAGTATACAGATTTTATGAATAATCCATGTTACACTTTAGTAGGATTGAAGTTTTATTTTAAATTTTGATTATTTTTCAAAGCAATTATTACCCTGGTTTTGGACTGAATGTTTTTCTAAAACCTTTAATACTGAAAATAGTTAAAAACGACACCTGATGAAAACGATCATCAAATTAGAAGGGAAAAAAATTATTTACAAGTAAATTTTTAATTGTAAAAATCACAACACTTACCTGCTTTATAAATCCGGAGAATTCCAAAATGAAATGCTCTTCATTTGAAAATTTTTATTTTCAAATAATATATGCATAGATTATAACATTAACAACTTCATGATATAACATTAATTTGACATACCTACAAGAAAATTTTATAATTGTAAGATCTCGATAGAATTTCAATATGTAACTTAAAAACAGAATAGCTGAATTCTAGTTGAAATTTATCATTCAAAATTAGAAAATACTCACCAAAAAACACGATACAAATTTATTAGTAATCGGCACAAACGATACTAATACAAATAATTCGGATGATTCTTTATTGTTGTTTTCCGAATTATATAGATACAAAAATGTATACTATTCTATGAAGCAGAAGAATATTCTATAGCTGCTACAGCTCTGCACATTCTGAAATCACATTTATTCATTTTAATGAAGTATAAGCAATGTTGACTTAACTTCAATTTATTATGAATTGAAGATAAAAAAAAAAATGTATTTTACCGTCATACACACATTTGTAACAGTATGCGAAATCGGAAGTTATCGGTTGCAAGTTTGTTTTTAAAAGAAAGGAAAAATTGAGAAATTGATTCTCAAATGTTAGGCGCGTTCTGTTTTAAAATGATTCTGCGATGTTCTGGCTCATTTTTTCAAGTTCTGCCTTTTTCTTAGGGAAATTTTGCTGCTAAAAAAAGCATTCTTATCTACCAATGATTCTGATAGAACTAAATGAAAACTTAATAAATAATAGCCTGAAAATATCTTTCCCGCTAGAGGGCGTATTGTAAGTCGCATCAGAGTTTCAAGTCGATATTTTTAAAAATTATAATTTTTTTTATATAAAATGTTTAATAATTATAATTTCAAGAAAGAACATTTTCTTAATATGCTGATAGAAACAAAATGGAAAAAACATCAAGCATGCAATTACATATGTGACACAATAAGAAGTAATAAGCGAAAAATAATTTTATTTTAAATTTAATTTAGTTTAAATTTCTCCTATTTAAATTTCAAACGATTTTTATCTCTTTTGAGTCTTTCATATTTTTGATAAAAATTTCGATACAACTGTTATGATTTGTATCTGGCAGCATCTAATGTCTCTCTTGCTTATTTTATTAAATTTTTTTATATTTTACTTGTTACATCTGGTCTGGTCAAGCGTGGGCCTATAAAATGAAGGATTCGAAAGAGGTAAATAAATTTTTCTTAACAATACTCAGGGCCAGTAAATTAGCCAAATCGATTTTATTCCGAATTATTTTATAAAATACAAATTCAACTAAAAGTCATTTTGCAGTTATGGAGGAGCAATGAATGGGAGGGCGAATTGTAAACATGCAAAAATAGTTGAATACTGCTCTTCATTTGAAAAAAAACGCTTCACGAGAAACGTGGCTTTTCAACTATTTTCTTTCTATTGCTATAAACGCTTAAACAGAATTTCAGAGAAGAACAAAATGTATTTTTGAAAAACTTTTTGTATTTTAAATAATAGACCCCAGCAGCAAAATAACCAATATTGGCCCTACATAGAATTTTCCGTTTCACCCGATATTTTATAGCCACTTGACAAGAAATATTGATGCTATATAGAATTGTCACCCGATATTTTATATCCATTATTTAGCCGGTGTAGGTTCTATATTGGCCAGTAGGCCCTATATCAGCCCTTCTAGGAACAATATTAAAAAATCTAGACATCCCAAAATTGATTCCTTGCCTCCCTCACACCTATTAAACCTGGGGTCTGTCCAGACATTTTGTGAATATAAAATAAACGTTAAGTCACATTCTATCAACCAGGGCCCTGCTTTTGTGAGTTTGTGCCAATAGGGCCCTGT